GTACCTTAAGGCAGGTCTGTTATAGGAAGTACTGCGAGATTACCGCTGTTGGCATTTCGAAGTTCACGCCTGAGGGCGCATGCATAGTCGGTCGTCCGACAGCAACGATCGTAACTGTCGCACAGCATTGGATGCGTATCGATCGTCGGACTTGCCTGAGTATTCGACGATTAGATACGTATCTAACGCTGTGCGACCGTTACGATCTTGCTGTCGGACGACCGACTATGCATGCGCCCTGGCTCGGTTTTTGCGTCTTTTCCGCACACTATACACGTATTTCTGCAGCCAAAATATGTGCACAGTGCAATACATGTGTGGGGTGAAAATCCGGTTTGGTGGGGTGTGGGTACTTAGGACAGAAAGCGACATTTTCGCTCTTCGCAACGCGACATCGCGCGGCAGGGCTGGCGCTCCCGCAGCGAAAACAGCTACGGTATGAAGAGCGCGCGATTGGAGCAGCTTTTTTCGCATGCGTGAATTTGTAAGTTTCTGATTTATTGCTTGCCCACGCTCACACTCATTGTATTGAGACATGCGGTGAATCACCAATTCTCTCTCATCAATGGAAATGTTTTGTGAATTACACGATTCCGAGCGATGCCGTTAAAGTGGTATTCTAGAATTCTAGAACACTTCAAATTATTGGTGAACGAGGTAATTACACACTCATCGGCCTAGGTAATACTCTATATATCATAGCAAACTCTGACGAACTGATCCTTTGTCGTGAGTCTCATCGAACGTCCATCAACCACTCCTCTTCCAGGGTCTACCATCCATCCTCTGCAAAATTAACCTACCTCTTTCTTCACTGCTATTTAGTGGTCCTCTTCTGGTGGCCATTTCCTCGTTCACTATCAAGTCCATGGTTAGTAAGCTTCAAATTCCTTGTCGCAACTTAGAACCAGAGCAAATAACTCGCGCTCCATTCACGCGCCCCTCGTACCGTAGCTGTTTTCGCTGTGGGAGCGCTGGCCTGTCCGCGCGATGTCGCATTGCGAAGCGCGAAATGTCGAATTTCTGCTTTCGCAATTTGACCTGTAGTGGACCAAAAATCGGTCCTGAACGGGAGAATGGAGATCTTTGCCTCGGCCTAAGGGTGGGAACTCCAGGGTGGATGACGTGGTGCAAAAAACTAGATGATGGGACAGGATGGAATGTGGGATTTCCACCGGTTCTTAGCAGAAGAGCACTTTAGAAGAGTCGTCAACGAATTGTAAGGATAAGATAGCAAGGAGTGCCCCTTCCTTCCCCTCTCCCCCAATCCGGATTTTCACCCATGTGTGGAACGGTACGAAAGCCGTTCGCACTGAGCCACACTGCAAGATGTGAATTTGAACTACAAGAAGCGCGTCTTCCTGGCAGCTCCTGCTACGACCGCTGTCAGGCTGCCATCTGAGCGACTGGCACCCGTTTGCCAACAGTGGTTTCCGCTAATGATGCTACTGAATGCTGAGATTGCTGGAAGCAGAAACCACTCAAATAGCGGACCAGTGCCTCGCGACCGATCATAAGCCGGCTTTGTCGAAGACCCACCCCTCAATCGTAACCCCTACCCTTCCGGGTGTGGTTCACTAGGACAGAAAGCAAGCGACTTTCCTGCTTCTTGCAGAGCAAAACTTTTCTGCAGGATTCCCAGGTCCACCGCTGCTGAGGAGTGAACGGGGGTTAGCCGGGAGGAAGAGTTCCGCGTGCGAAAATTCGCTTTCTATCCTAGCGGACAGCACCCTATTCTTCCTAGCCCATTACCCTGAAATCAAGTCCAATGTAACCTGAACTTAGAGTGGGCTAGGGTTAAAGATTCCAGTGACTTCAGCGATTTCAACAATCGTTGCAATCGCGGAAATCGCTGTTGGTATACTGGTGCCGTCGCTCAAATCTCAAAGACATCGGCCTGGGGAGCATGCGATGAACACCCATAGTCGCAGCCCTGGTTCCGCTGAACTTGAACAAGTCATCGATGAGTTGATCTTCAACGGAGAGTTTCCTACAGATATTACTGCTTTATTGCTAATTTTTTTTTTTTTTGAATTTTTCCTCAATTCAAGGTTCGTTTCTTGGTTTCAGTAGGATTAAAGCTCCGCCCCATACACACATGACACGTCATTACGCGAGACCTCCTGTCCCTCAGAACATCACTGTATCACTTGCCAGATGTCCTGTTTTGGGAGGTGTGTACACTTGTACTTGCGTTGTTTTCTTTCTCTTGTTGATCCTCCTCGGGGTTCGAATGAGTAATGCTTTCAGGAACGGTGTACACATGTACACCTCAAACGCCAGTATGTTATAGTCCTTCCACTCACATGGGCAACTGCTCGAAAATATGCAGCGCGGAGACCTGAATTCTGTGTTGAGAGATTTGTGCTGCGAATCGATTCTGATTTTCTTCCTGTGCAATCACTTTTTGGTGTAATGCCCTCAACAAGACGTTGAAATCAATGGATTTTGCCGTATCGTTGTGTAGCTTGGCGGTGCTTAAAGCTGAATGTTTTGCAGCCAGCTGCAATGATGCTTTTGTTTTCTTTAGAAAGTAGAAAGAGATCAAAATCAGTGGAAGAACTCATGAAAAATTTTGTTGAACAGCTAGGACTCTTTACACAAAAGGCATTGCGGCTGGCCGCAACCTAACCATTTGCTCACCTTGAGCGTGCCAATCTCGCTTTTTCGTTCAAAAGACTTAAAATATTTCCTTGAAAATTCGAGAGCCCTTTGGAAATTAATCCATTCACTTCAGCGTCTTGTAAAATCCACTGTGCGATTCAGTAAATTTTCTTCGCGTACCACGTTCTTCCAGTCGAGTGTGAGCGAGTGTTTATTGAAAAATACTCCCGTCACGAAGAAAATTTGGCACCTTTTTCGCATTGTGCTCATTATTCAGTTGGTGCATATGTGTCGCTAAACTTAGATAACTGTTTTACCTGTCTGTATTGCATTTCAAGTCTTGCAGGTATTTCGAGTTTACCTATATCCTCTTACTTTAGCTTCTTTTCTTTTGGTTGTTATATTGTTCATGTTTTATCGTTGTGTTTGTTTATGGTTGCCTGATGCAGCCAGCTTGGTTTTACGTTTTATGATTGTCTGTTTTTGTTCAATGTTGGGAAGCGCACCCTATACGGAGGGTATCCTTGAACAAGGATCTTGAATAGGATCTCATTGTTTTCATTTGATTGTTTCACCATTTGGATCAGTTGTTTTTGAACGATCCTTTCCTGTACCATCGTTTTAAACTACTATGAATTGTTCGAGATCCTGGTGTTTGATGATTCAACACCATTTGAGGATTGTTTCCTCGCCTTTACAAATTTAACGGATTCGAAAGAGTTACCTATTTGGTTAGTAATCAACCACTAATTGGAGATTCCAAAGAACAATGTATTCAGGTGATTAGAGATTTATCTGCTCGTGGCTAAAGACAACAACAGGCTAAAAGTGGTGTGACAAAGCAAGCTGTTTTTGAAAACCAGCGGCTAGCATGGGAATGCTGCTCCGAAGGCCACTGTAGCGCGCGCGAGTAAATCGTCTTCAAAAACTTCCCTTTTTGCTGCTGCGTCCTCATGAAATCTGCTAAATTCTAATTTCCTGATACATGCTGTGGAGCAAAGATTGTTTTCAGGGCGGAGCCATAAGGTCTTGGAATGCCCACGAGTTTCTCCATTCGGCTAATTAATAGGCCCACAGCCACTCGAGTTTCACGATCCCTTCTGTCCCCATTCTTCAACTCTATTCTAACAATGCTTCCTATAGAAAGGTGTCAACCAAGGGGTGAGATTGGTAGAAAGGAAAGACAATAGCGTTTGTGCAGTGGGACTGAGCCCGTTTAACACGTTGACGACACATTGTGCAGCGCATGCGCATCACACCTTGAGCACCGTGTGGGACCGTGTGCAGCGCATGCGCTGCACACACAAAATATTTATTTTTTTCGCGCATGCGCTACTTCTTTTCTAATTTTTTGCATCTATTCCATAGACTACACCATAATATGACTAGACACGGCATGGTTCATTGAATGGTTGAATATGCTCCTTTTTAGCGAAGGTTTTCTAAGCCCTACGAATTTCCCAATTGTGTTTATTCCTAGTTTCCTTTATATTCTGATAATCTTGGTCATAAAAAAGAGCAGTAGAAGTAAGTACAGACCCACACATATAGCAAGACATATGTTTTTAGTAGAGCAACCGCGTCAAAAATAATTTTGAGGTTCACTGCAGCAAAAGCAACTGAAACTTGCCTTTCATCGCCAGAAAACGTCAATTCGATCGATTTTTTACAGTTGTCCCTTCTGATAAGTTTGACACATCGAATATCATTCTAAACATTTTGTTGCATCCGAGTTTTGGGTATTTAAAGCTCAAAATTCACGGATTTGATGTGAGGCGGCGGCGCCTGCAAAATCGCCGTGGTCCCACGCGGCGCAAAAACCCAAAACGCGCGCAAGACCGGCGTGCGCGCCCCGTGTTATGTCGTCAACCGTGTGAAAAGAGGTACAGAAACGGAGATCTGTAATAGTGCGCCTGTGTGCGAGCTTCGGACAGCACAACCGAGTCGCTGAAAATTGTCTAGTGCCTAACCGGTTGCAGAAGTTCGGAGACTCCAATTTCATGCAGTGAGTGCATATGCCCACACCCCCATCACATTTTCATTTTCCGCTACCCCATTTATTGAATAGAGAGGAGAGTAAAACTCAGCATTTCATCGTTGTCTGTTATATTCTGTCCGTGTTATGTTTGCCCATGTTGGTGTGGGGATGTGGTTGCTAGGTTAGAAAGCGACTTTTCCGCATATTGCAGCGCGAACCTCTTCGCCGCATGAACTCCGAGTTCCCCTTAGTCCGCTTCTATAGATAGCTTTTCGTACTTATTCTTAATTTGTTTTTTTTAAATGTGAAAATGAAATGCTATCTCTTTCATCAGAGTGCGCGATTTTTTGCATCCTACAAGATGGCGGTTGTGTAATGTTAATGTTTCACAAGTTTAAGGAGTGTGATTTTAGGGAACATGGTTCACGCCAACACAACAAACGACCTCGAATTGGTCCTGGATCGTATCCCGATCGAATATCCAGCTCTCGTAATGGAAACGTTCCTCTCAAGTATGCATTGGTAGCTTGATTTATGTGCCCCCTTATTCGCCCATATGATTGTAATTGACGTTGGAACTCAGCAGTATGAGGGGCTAAACTCATAAGCACCCTTGAGGTTAAATATTCGAGCCTTGTTGCCCAAGCGTTGCTCCTCTGTGCAACGATGCTTCGCTCCCGCACACCCCCTTAGTACATCAAGCCCTGTATTCGGTTGCTATAAATCAATATTATTTCAAGTTGAAAACGGACAATCCGAACTGACTGTCGCCTCTCTACGCTGTATGGTTACGGTGGATGGTTTCGAAACACAGTGTATTTGTGTGGAGTACAACGGTGGGTAACGTTACTAACGACCTATAAACTCAAATCAAATCCTCATTGGGTCCAATTCATCCAAGTGTGGATCAATTTTCCGAAGGCTGTTCACGATTTATTCGTTCGTTACATTACTCCAGCGACAGAATCCATTTATTTATTCGATGTTTTCGAAGACAATTTTTAAAAAAAATGTTTGTGTGTTTCCATGGCTCCTCTGGTCCGTGTTGTCAGACAGTGTGCCGAGTACTTTCATCTTCTATTCCCAATTAAAAGGGTAGGGTCCATCTGTAAGAGCGCCATAATTTCGACTGTGTGGCATTCGGTGCTCGCCGTTCATTGATACACCAGTCCATGCGACCCCATGAGGGTCCTTTTTACAGCCGGTCTGGATCGCAGAACGAATGGCATCAGGCATGATACAGTTGGTCCGAGTCAACGTGGTTGGCTCCGTTTATGATTCAAACGGCCGCCTGTGAAAGTGCCGTCCCATAGAAGAAAACGCATGAATTCCGAGCTTGATGGCGTGAGAAGGTGTTACCGTCGTTGAGAAGTGGAAATGAAAGGAGGAACTGATAAGAGGTACAGTGGCGAGGTGAAATTGAGGAAAGGAAGCAGTGCGCAACATACGAAGTGGAGTCTTGTTTTCCCTGTCGATTTCCGCTCTGATCGAGTCGATAGTACTGGCATCGATACTGTGACGCTCTGACCTAACTCTATGTTTCGACGGCTTGGGTCCCACGGCAAGGGACGATCCGGCTAGGGAGGGAAGAGGAGGGGGGGGGCGAGAAAAACCTCGTAGCCTGCGACGGAACAACCCCGTCGCCTGAAAAAAGCGCACACGTTCCTTCTTGCGGGCACAGTAATCCTTTTAATGGTGCATTTTGCCTCTTTTACGTTGCGCAAATTATCGCGTGGCCACTTGACTTCATTTGTAGCTGGCCAATCTGTCTTCGATGTACGCACACATAGCCAGAGCGTACGCGTTGTGAAGATGCAGCATCAGCTCCTGCTAGAACACATTAAGTCGATAACTTTGGCGGTGTTCTGCGTCGACCATTAAAGGGCAAGCTCGGATAGATTAGTGTGGAAGAGCACTCACTAATGAGTCTAACAGAGGGGAGTGGTCGAAAGAAGAAGAGAACCAAGAGAAACTCCCGATTACGCCGAAAGGTCCCATTTCAGCCGCATTCCACCTTGGGATAGAGAAGGGGCGTGTTGGACGAGTTTCACGAGCCTAGCTCTAGTTGCTCCAGTGCCAATGACATTGAACCGCAATGGGCTGCCTCAAATGCGCCCGCGCTTTTCAAGCAGCGCCACGTGGCAACCGACAGCGGAAGGGTGGGGCTTGCGGACGAAGGTGTGAGTTGCGGGTCGAGCGAGCTTTTAGCGCCTTTGTCGCGCACTTTCAAGCCACAAAAGGGGCCTGCCTACTACACTTGGGTATGGAATAGGTGGGCATGTCTGATCCTAGAGCGTGCCTTCAATAATAGAGGAGGAATTTTACTTCAAGCCATCCAAAAAAGATGATCACGTAATGTTCTGAACTTTGAGAGGCAAGCCGTCATTTCAGGCCTCAGAGTCCTTCTCCTGACTTTGAACTCTATTTTCTATAAATTCATTATAGGAGTGTGATTCTGGTAGAAGTACTGTACAATTGCCACTGCCTCCATCAGGACTCCCGTACTCTGCTAGATCCGTAGTCGTATACAAGAATAGTTCGTTCGGTTTTGCTGTATTTCTCAGCTATTAGTGGAGTTATTTTGCTTACATTAAAATGGGTTCTTCAGCTCGTGGTCGTCCTCCTGGACTTTTGGTAGTGTCCGGAGAAGGAGTCGCGCGGCACTGGCCTTCAGTCACGTCTTCAATTCACAGCGAAACTGTTATCGATTTGACAAGTGAAGTCACTCTATCAGTACAACTTTTGGAATCGTCAGATATTGGTGAGTTTATTCAGCGGTGTTTTGCTGTCACGCACATCCGTTTGACCACTTCTAATAGTTATAGAATTGTATAATGTTCCCTAACCGTTCCGCCTTAAGATACATCCTTCGTTCTGACTACCACCTCCGGCTCCGTATACCTGCTTTTTGGCGGTGCAGTGCAAACGCGGGGAGAAATTCAGTTTGCAAAAATTGGTTCCAGGGAAACTCGCGGAATAGGAAGGCGCTTGTCGAATATCATTTTCGGCTCTCAGGGCTCCGCCTCTGACAGGTTTGTTGTGGTCTCCTTGAAACTTGTTTGTTCATTGTTTTCACTCATTTTATTTCAGCTCACATGTTATTAACTCGCTAGTTTTCCGAGGAGATTCTCAGGAGGATGGAGGTGTCAGTGTTAGGATTTTCTTCATTCATTTTTTGTTCTAAAATTGAGGAATCATGAATGAGCTGCTTCAGGCCGCCGACGCAGCGGTTGTTACGATCTCACCAAGCTGTATGAACTGCTTCAATGTTGATAAGAAAGGATTGGCATGGACCGTTAATACTCGTACTTTCTTGGAGGGATACGTCACGGGTTTTTTCGAGGTCTGTAAAACATCGAATGTGTGTATTTCTATACAATTTGTTTTTCGCCGTTCCTATTCGGTTAAATCACTGCGAGCTCATTGCGTTCATTTTTTGGCATCATTGCTGCAACAGAATCTGAAAGTGAAATAATAATAGGAGAAGGTAGTATGCCTTTGTTGGTGTAAGGGTGATTGGACCAATGTCGTTTGATCGTTAACAAGATATCTGCACGGCTAGGAACGCGCTTCCTTCCTTTTTGGCGTCAGGGTTTTAAAAAGCGAACGTCTGTTTCAGTTGGGTTGAGTTAACGTTTATGTTAGGGTTTGTAGAGGCAGGGGTAGTGGGAATTTGGAGTGCCATGTGGAAAGGTAAAGGAAAGCTTGTAGCCTTTGCGAAGTGAGAGAGATTGTTCACTTCTAACTATAAGACATGCTTTTAACCAAATTTATCTATTCACCTATCTGGGTAAGCTGATCCGCTTCCATGGTCTGTTACAGCGATCATCACGTGGACGGCTAGTTGCTGGAGTGAATGTGTGGCTACTCGATGCAGCGAAATTTCGTGGTGGAATACTTTTACTGCTCGGCAGGCAGTCATGACAACACATTGAATGTCACGTTTTTCTTAGGCGAGTATTCAGTTCTCATGATAATTGCACGCTATGAAATTCGAATGAGTTCTTTTCAGCAATGACTCGGTTTGACGGCGGCGCACCAACAGATGTTGAATGGTTCTCAGTAATACCTGTTGGAAGCAGTCACACGAATGACTTCAAGGTATTGATTTGAATAATCGCAAGCCTGTGTATGTAGCTGCTAGGATATCTTAGAAGGAGCTTAGATGTTGTGCAATCGATTGATAAAAAGTCTTCCTATGCGTTTTGTAATTAGGCCGATGAAGAATCCTGTTTTGTTGGTCGTGTTTCTCTGTGTGTACCTGGTCTAACGTCCAACTCAACCAATTGCGAACGGACTGATGGAGTGATTATCCTCTATCCGCAGTTCGGTAGGATCCAGCATTTCTTCCTATTTACTCAGACTCGATATTTTTGAGACTGCTTTTTTTGCATCATGTGCGTATGTCGTACAATTTCAGTCCAATCTGTATATCCACCAGATCGCTTGACCAGGCACAATGAACTTCCACTAAACAAAGTGCTAGGTTTTCCCGTGGGTACTAAAGTGGTTGGTCATGGTTGGTTCTTCTATTAGTATTGTTACGTCTAAAACATTTTATGTGCCGCTTTGAAGGTTCCTTTTAAAGAAAATCTTTAGCTTGTGATGACCGTTTCTGTTATGTTATGACCGTCGAAGGAGGTATTTCCTGTGTCCGCCTCTTGCCTAAGTAAGTCAAACCTTTTTTAAAATGATTAATTTTTGCTCCATGAGCTTTTTTAAATGGATGTGTAGATGCGTAGATCTAAGTCTCAACTCAGTATTTACCTACTTCTTTCCCATTTTGTTTTAATTAACTATGATGAAAATCTGCTAGATTTTCATTTCTGGCATCCATGGTAAAGTCTGTGCTAGAGCACTAGCTCCACCCTTTCTTTCTACTCTTTTTTTGAACATTTTCTTGGTTTCCAGTCTTCACAGGTTAGAGCAGTTCTTGTTCTTTTTAGGGGTTTCGACGATGACTTAAAGGATGACACGACTTTTATTGATGATCTCATGGATATCAAGGAAAATGTATCTCAGGATGAAATGGCATTGCCACTGTTTATTTCGGCATTCGCATCGTTTGTTGAGAAAAACATTGTAAGTTTGCTTACAAGCAGTTTCACACCTTTTTCGGAGAATTTTATGTGAAGAACTATAGTGAAGTGGACGATCAATC